GAGACTTGAGGCAGGAGACCCAGCTAGGAGGAGGCTGTTTGTAAAGTTCATATGAGATCAGCTGCCAACTTGAAGAATTTCCTTTTCTACACAATCTCTTGCCTGCACGCATCCCCTCTGCCCAGTGCCCCAGCCCTCCCCCTAATGCAGGGTCTGGTCACCACATCTGGGCTCTTACCAGAGCCTACTCTTTGGTCTCCCAGCCTCCAGCCTCTTCTCATACTAGTTCATCCTCCTCCCACCTGCCGAACTAATTTTCTTTTTTAAATTCACACTACCTCACTTAAGCACTGGTGTTCTTGCTGTCTGGATGGGATTTTTCTGAGTTCTCCATTTTCTACTTTTTCTTCTCTAATTTTTCCATTTGAAGTCCACATTCAGTTATAAACTGTGCACTTTCTCTTACCTCCTAACACGAAAAGGTGTATCTAGGACACTGAAATCTGATCCCAGCACAAGTACATTTATAGAGGCTTTCCTGAAAATGCTGATAAAGCAAATGCTTTAAGACAGAGGGAAGTGATATTCAGGAAGCATGAACAGCCAGTCTAGCCTCATATTCTGAGACTAGATTTTGTTGTTACTAGGTTAGCTTAAAATGTGCTGGGCTAAAATACCCCAAGAGGGGCAGCTAGGTGGCACAGTGGATAGAGCACTGGCCCTGAAGTCAGGAGGAACTGAGTTCAAATCCAGCCTCAGATCAAACACTTGACACTAGCTGTGTGACCCTGGGCAAGTCACTTAACCCCAATTGCCTAAAAAAACCCAACAACAACAAAAAAAAACTTGGAAAAAATAAAATAAAATAAAATACCCTGAGGTTCTAAGTTGTACTGCTGCTTCTTGACCCAGGCAGAGATACCTAAAGAATTTGATATAATGCTGCAGGGCATGGCCAATTTCCCAGGCAGAAACCTTAAGAGCTTTCACAGAATTATTTAAATAATAAACGATTGAACAGTACAAGGAAGCTGTTAAGACTTTATATAATAATCACAAATCACAATAACAAGTATCTTTACCATATCCAGTATTTATGTAGTGTTAGATTCAATAAGGCCTTCAGATTTATCCTGAAAGGTGAGTAGACATGATCAATCAGGTGATTATCTAACGTAACTCTTAGACTAAGGCTGGTTACAGACCGATTTCTAAAAATCTTTTCCTTTGTGATTTCTAGTTCTTAATTGAAGTCAAATCACTGCACGTTAACCACTCAACATAGATAGATCCTGAAATCTTAAAATACTAACACCCTAACTCAGTCACTGATCTGCTACTGGTTTTTTTTTAACATCTGTCTTTTAACAATTAAATCCATAACCTGAAAGAACTGAAGAATTCACACTTCTAACCATATTTCTTTTTTTTTAATTTAGTATTTTGTTTTTCCCCAGTTACATGTAAAAACGATTTTTAACATTCGTTTTTAAGACTTTGAGTTTCAAATTCCCTTCTCCCTCCTCACCCCCCTCATTGAGAAGGCAAGTAACGTGATGTAGATTATACATGTGTAATCATGCAAAATATTTCCATAATGATCATGCTCTGAAAGAAAGCATAGACAAGAAAACTCCAAGAAAAATAAAGCAGAAGTATGCTTCAATCTGTATTCAGACACCATCAGTTCTTTCTCTGGGGATGGAGAGCATTTTTCATCCTAAGTCCTTCAGAGTTGTCTTGGATTGTTGTATTGCTGAGAACAGCTAAGTCGTTCACAGCTGATCATCTTACAATATTGCTGTTACTTTGTACAAAGTACATTTCACTTTGCATCAGCCCGTGCAAGTCTCTCCTTTTTGTAAGAGCAACCCGCTCATCATTTCTCATAGCACAATAATATTCCAATATAATCACATACCACAACTTGGGGCATCCCCTCAATTTCCAATTCTTTGACACCAGAAAAGAGCTGTTATAAATATTTTTAATGGATAGGTCCTTTTCTTTTCTGTTTCTTTTGGGATACAGATTCAGTGGTGGTATTGCTAGGTCAAAGAGTATGCATGGTTTTATAGCCCTTTGGATATAGTTCCGAATTGTTCTATAGAATGGTTGAATCCATTCTGCCAACAGTGCATTAATGCCCAATTTTTGCCACATCTTCTCCACCATTTGTCATTTTCCTTTTCTGTATTATTAGCCAATCTAATATGGATGAGGTTTTACCTAAGAATTCCTTTAATTTGCATTTCTCCAATCAGTAGTGAGTTAAAGCATTTTTTTCCATATGCCTATAGATAGCTTTGATTACTTCATCTGAAAACTTCATATCCTTTGATTATTTATTGACTAGGGAATGGCTCTTATTTTTATAAACTTGATTCATGTGTTTGAGAAATGAGGCCTTTATCAGAGAAACTTGCTTCAAAAATTTTTTTGGGGGGGGCAGCTAGGTGGCGCAGTGGATAGAGTACCAGCCTTGGAATCAGGAGGACCTGAGTTCAGATCCCACCTCAGACACATAACACTTACTAGCTGTGTGACTCTGGGCAAGTCATTTAACCCCAAATGCCTCACCAAAAAAAAAAAATTTTTTTCACAGTTACTATTGCTAACTGTATTTCCCTCCATCCTATTCCCCCTCATTTATTCTATTCTCTCTCTCCTTTCACCCTGTCATTCTTCAAGTGTTTTGCTTGCCTAACCCCTCCTCCAATCTGCTTCTTTTGTATAACTCCACCCTCCCTTCTCTTATCCCCTTTCCTTCCTACTTTCCTAGACGGTAAGATAGATTTCTGTATCCAATTGAGTGTGTATGCTATTCCCTCTTTGAGTCAGTTCTGATGAGAGTAGGGTTCACTCACTCCCCCTCACCTCCCCCCTCTTCCCCTCCACTGTAAAAGCTTTTCCTTGCCTCTTTTATATGAGATAATTTACCCCATTCTATCCCACACTTCCTCCCAGTACATTCCTCTCTCCCACCTCTATTTTTTTTAGATATCATCCCTTCATAGTCAACTCACACCTGTGCCCTCTGTCTATTTATACTCCTTCTATCTGCCCTAATAATGACAAAGTTCTTATGAGTATCATCTTCTCTTGTAGGGATGTAAACAGTTTAACTTTATTAAGTCCCTTATGATTTCTCTTTCCTGTTTGTTTTTATACTTCTCTTGTTTCTTGTATTTGAAAGTCAAGTTTTCTATTCAGCTCTGGTCTTTTCATCAGGAATGCTTGAAAGTCCTCCAATTCATCGATCCATTTTTTCTCTCTGAAGGATTATACTCAGTTTTGCTGGGTAGGTGATTCTTGGTTGTAATTCTGGCTCCTTTGCCCTCTGAAATGTCATATTCTAAACTTCCTGATCCTTTAAAATAGAAGCTACTAAATCTTGTGTTATCCCTACTGTGGATTCATGGTACTTGAATTGTTTCTTTCTGACTGTTTGCAATATTTTTTCTTTGACTAAGGAACTCTGGAATTTGGCTATAGTATTATTGGGAGTCTTTATTTTGGGATCTTTTTCAGGAGGTGATGGGTGGATTCTTTCAATTTCTATTTTACTCTTTGGTTCTAGAATATCAAGGCAGTTTTCCTTGATAATTTCTTGAAAGATGATGTCTAGGCTTTTTTTTGATCGTGGCTTTCAGGTTGTCTGGCAATTTGTAAATTATCTCTCCTGGATCTATTTTCTAATTCAGTTGTTTTTCCAGTGAGGTATTTCACATTGCCGCCTATTTTTCCATTCTTTTGGTTTTGTTTTATTGTTTCTTGATTTCTCATAAAGCTTCCATTTGCTCCATTCTAATTTTTAAGTAAGTATTTTCTTCATTGAGCTTTTGAACCTCCTTTTGCATTTGGCCAATTCTGCTTTTTAAGGCATTCTTCTGCTCATTGGCTTTTTGTATCTTTTTTTTTATTATTTGGCCTAGTCTGTTTTTTAAGGTGTTATTTTCTTCAGTATTTTTTGGGGTCTCCTTTACCAAGCTATTGACTCATTTTTTCATGAGTTTCTTGCATCACTCTCATTTTTCTTCCCAATTTTTCCTCTACCTCTTTTACTTGATTTTCAAAATCCTTTTTGAGCTCTTCCATAGCCTGAGACTAATTAATATTTTTCTTGGAGGCTTTGGATGTAGGAGCTTTGACTTTGTTATCTTCTTCTGAGTGTGTGTTTTGATCTTCTTTGTCACCATAGTAACTTTCTATGGTCATAATCTTTTTCTATTGTTTGCTCATTTGTTCGTGACTGCCCTGCCCCCTTCTTCCCCTCTTCTCCCACCTTACCTTCCTCTCTTTCCCATCCCTTCTTTTTCCCTCTTTCGCTCCCCTCTCACTTTCCCCCTTCCTTCTTCCCCTTTTTCTCCCTCACTTTCCTCCTCCTGCCCCTCCCCCTCCCTTCTCTCCCTTTCTCTCCCCCCTCACATTCTAAAGGAGAGGGGGAGAGCTGAATTCTCATAAGAGGTGAGATCTGAGGGTACTAAGGTGAGGGAATCAGGGTTGCCACTACAGCAAGGG